AAGTGTGTCTCCGAGAAAAAAAAGTCTGAGGAATTTGTATTGTCCACAGTTCAAATTCCCTCTGCACTTTTTACGCTGAAAATGAAACATTCATTTACGTATTGAAAAATTTCTTAGTCCGCAATATTTGGTATTAAATATAGAAAGACTATCATCATTTCACATTCCGTTCTGGTTTGTTCTATCGTTCAGAGACACTAAATTCGTGATGAGTCGACACTATCAGGTGCATCATTGAATTAAAAAAAGGCTATCACGAGTGTGCGCTTTGAACGGTCGAGGCCAAAATTTTCCTTGGCGCATGCCAAATTGTAAATATAGCTACATCGACAACTTTATCTTTACATATCAGATTTGAATACTGGACTCACTGACAGATAAATCGTTCCATTCACAATTCATTGTATTCTGAGCAATATTTTTCAGTGTAAATCATTCAATTTAACTCGCAATAAAATCACAATGTTGATGATTGTGTCATCTTAAATTGTTTCCGCTGATTCAGGAGGAAAAAGCATTTTCAGCTAATATTTCCCAGGCTTTCTCAACAGCTACCAAAACAAAATATCTAACAATGTCAATTATTTTACTCAACCAATGGCATTACCCAATGGCGAAGGGGACGAGAAAAACAAACATATTTGTCTGATGTCTGAACAATTTCTGTGCCGACGTAAACAATTTTTTTAACGTCATGACAACGTAACAATGTGGATGGCAGTGGATCTTTTACGGTTTGTACATCATCAGCTACACTGTGCCGTCATTGTACGTCCGGTAGCTATTTGAATCGCGGGAAGGAAGTCCCTAAGAGTGAACTAATTGCTAATCGACTCGACATCCGTGCTCAAGCTCGCACTAACCCATTCCCATAATCATCACACTAACTTCAAATACAGACATGTCGTTTTAGATACAATGACGAAAAATTCTTGCTTCATTTTTTTTATTATTCTTCTCTTCATACATTAAGGGGAGACTAATATGAGTTTTAAAAGTCGTGGGATATTGGAGTGAGATTTCTCATGCATTGAAGATCGGTTATAATAAATACATGTCTAAAAACGAATAGTTAGCGCCAAAAAATTAATTGTTAATTCTTCGTTTGCTCCGCAGACGCTTAAAATATTTAAAAAAAGTCCAGGGCCTCCAATTTTTGAGCTACAGAGATTTTTTTCAAAATTTTTGAAAAAATGTGCACAATAACAATTACGAACTAGTTTCTTGAAATGCGACTCCTACGCGACTAATTTCGTTTCATTTAAAATAAAAATTTGCGCCATTCATGTAAAATAAGCAGAAAAATTATCCTTAACCCTAGATTGGTCACCCTGTCAGGGAAACCCCGCGACGTGACGTTGCCGGAAACTCACTAAACAGCCCCAGGCAGTGTAGAGTAAATTCGGCAACGCTAAAGCTAAAATAATACGGTGGGGAATCCCCGCGGAGGTGACCAAATTCGCAAGGGTCGCATTTGGTGACCAGACTAGGGTTAAAATATTTAAAATATATTCTCGATTTTTTCAGAAATATTTTTTGGTCTATTTTACATGAATGGTCCAATTTTTTATTAAGATAATAACGAAATTAGCTGTGTAGGACCTGCATTCCAAAAAACTGATTCGTAATTATTAGTGCACATATTGTTCCAAAAATTTGGATAAAAAAAACCTCTGTAGCTCAAAAATTTGAGGCCCTGGAGTCTTTTTAACAATTTTAGCGTTGGCGGCGTAAACCAATAATAAAAAATTAGTTTTCTGCATTAATTATTCGTTTTTAGACACACATAATTGATGTTCAATGTATGAGAAATCTCATTCCAATAGCCCGCGACTTGTAAAACTCACAGTAGTCTCCCTTCAAAGCGAGATACGCACTTTTACTCTCCCTGATGGTAAGATTGTGATCATTCGTCAACAGTTTATATTTATTTACTGAAAGGCTTTGTGGACTTTGTCGCGCATCATTCCACGAAACCATCGCCTGCACCACGCAAATCGTCTCGGTGACTTGGGGGAAAAAAGGAGGAGGATGTACATAGATATGTATATGTCATACATGCGTGGAACAACATTTGTAAACAAGATAGGGGGAAATGATCGGAAATGGAGTAATAAAGCTATCATTTCGAGAACCAATTATTTTGATCCTACAAAGTTCACGAGTAACTGGGAAAATCCATTTTCACAGCTAACAAGAGTGGTTTTAGATTTTGTTATCATAGTGAGACGGAGATTAATTATTGATGTAGATAGAGAAATTAACTACTCACAATTAGGGGAGGGTGGGGCAAAACGGCCCCCCTTCAATTGTCAATAACTTGTGAATGACATTGTGAAAATTCCCAGTTTCAACTTCATTTTGAAGATAATTTTTCATTCTTCAAAACGAGCTCTAACTCATCCCAATCGGATTATTGAATCGGAAAATATTGACGATTGAAGGGGGACCGTTTTGCCCTATCCTCCCCTATAATGTAGGTTTTTTTCTAACAACTCTTGATAAACTTATGTCGCTCATCAAGAATTGAATATGTTGGAGACTATCATTTCAATAGCACGGGAGCTGAACGACTTATCGCACTCACCAATGATTTTTATAAAAATATGGAATAAGAGCGATAATTCTATAATTGATTGTGAGAAGTTGGGCATATTTTTAATTTCATGAATGGATGTTATCAGCGTGAATATTTCAACGTAAAGAATATTTACGTTGTTGCGTTACTTTTTGAAATTTCTTTAGTTGAAAAAATCCAAGTTTTGGTCCCTTCACATGGTTTTTGAATTTTCAACATTTTCACAAGTAATTACACTAAGAGAAATCCATTACATTATACAGCGATCCACATCTTCGTGACGTCATAGGAAATGATTGAATGGGATTTGGATGATTTAGTGAGGGGAACCGGGATTATTCCCAACATGAATAACCACAGAAATTTGTACTGAAAAAAATAGAACGACATAATATCACCAAAATCATTTCTTGAGCGAAAAACATTGCATACATATCTGATCAATTTATGATAGGTTTCAGACAGGAAATCGGTGCTCTTCGGGCTAAGGAGGAAGTTACTGAGTGAAAAGATGATATCTTTTTTTGAAATAAGATAATATTCCTTCAAAGACAAGAATAGTTTGACAGAAGGAAAAGAAGATAAGAGTTCTCTTCGAACTCAAAGCGAAGCGACGGTTATATTTTTTTAATATCTGGAGGTTTTCCTCTGTATAAACTCTCTATTCATTCAAAATGAAAGTCTTTGATTCATGATTCACTAAATCGAAGCTTTTAATGTTTTTCGTCATTTTCTCATCTTCTGACACGAAAAAATCGATTTCTTGTGGCAAGAAATTCTCACGTTATCGTGAAATGTTCCTGTTCAAGTCATGAACACTTCACCGAAATCTGACATTGTCTGACACATTACCCGGAATTCTTATCCCAAGAAATTTATCCTCAAGAGATGAGATGTTTAGTGCAAGAAATTAGTTTTTATCTCTCTCGCAGTGTAGCTAACGGGCAATTTTTCCGTTGAGAAATAGTCCACTCGGAAGGAAAAACGTAAAACGATAACCTTCATCCTTTCAGCTTACATAATTTATTATTAACGCATTCATAGACGCGCCAGCCAGAATATTTAAATATTTATTTGAATTTTCCTTATCCACAACGGTGAGATAATAATACCTAAAAATAACGTACATTTTCCGGAATTCCATTCACAGACAAATAGTGAGAATAAAAAGTAAACTCAATAGAATCTCAAATATTTGTATTTGCGATTTCCACCTAAAACATACGAAATCAATGAAAAAAGAAAAAATGAAGCATATCCAAGAACCGACCGGATGCAACGCCAGAATGGCAATGCAATGCAAGCCTCTCCACTGAAGTCCGTTACTTGTATCGGGTATTTCTCAGAACGCGCCTATAAACAAACAAACACACCTAACCGTGAAGAGGCTAAAGTCTGACGCACATATGTGTGTATGAACACAAGAGTGTTGGTGCCTGTGAGTGGAGTACGGGGATCCCAGGCCATTTACAGCGTATTCCCACCGCAGTGGACTCTGTGTATGTTGCCATAAGGTAGTGTGGTGGGAGACTTCTGGCGCCGTCGCTGGAATTTCCTTTCCCGCTTCCTTCCCGCGCCTTTTCTCGCTCTCGCTCAAGTCAAGTCAAATAATGTTTATTAACATAAATACGAATATTTACAAACAATAACAAATGTTTACAGTTTTTATATACGGGACTTTATGAAGTATAGCTAGCGACAGCCCAGGGGCTTTAACATATATTTTACATGATGATTATGAGAGGGGGTAACAAATTGAAGGTTGCGGGTGAAGAGGACATTCGGGATAGGGAAAATAATTTTTAGAAAAAAACCCTATTTCAGAAAAAAACCCTATTTCGCTCTCGCTCTTTCTCTCTCTCTTTACTCCACTCGGTGTTGCATCTGCGTGCGCATTCACTCTTACAACCCCCCACCACAAGATTCATCCCTACCACAGACCATCTCAGAATGTTTTCGATTGTAAAAATATATTTAAAAGTTGAAGTATTTAAATTTTCTGATGTAAAAACAAATTCAGGCAAGAGCAAATATAAGAAGAAATAATAAGGAATAATAATAATCCACTCGTCAAAAATTAAGTTCAAATATGAGAGTTGATTAATGCCGAAGTCATGAGAAACGAAATTTCCAATGAATCAGAATCTCCACAAAAATAGGAAAATTGTAATTTGAAACATTGTAAAAGCGCGTGTCTGTGCGTGGGCAAATTCCCGCGGTGAGAGTGGATGGGATATAGAATTCCAGGCGGCACAAACCTAGCAGGTGAGGGGAGCAGCAACAATACACGAGCAAAGGGAAACAGCGCTAAGTGGGGGGGCTCTCGAGAGCCAAGAGAGATAGAGAATGGTCCTCCGAGTGGGGGGTGCGTCAGCAAAGCGCGGGTAAGCAGGAATCTCTTGGAGTTCTTGGACGCCGCCCGTGTAAACTCAGTAAGCGAACGGCTCTCAAACGCCACGGATGTACTTTTAATTTCGTTCTTTGCGTTTTATACAAATCATTCCGTCCAATATCAAACAAGTTATTGGACTATTATTGCGGTTGCTAAAATTCGGCGAATTATCGTTGAAATTTTGAGAGTTACAAGTTGAACAATAAATATCAATAATCTGAGTAAACGAAAACATTCACAAACAATTAGCGGGAGTTTCGAATATTTTGGATTTTGGTTTCTTCATCAAAAGTGGCTTTAAACATACAAACTGGATTCCAACAAGCAGTACGTGTCGCGATTACATCGCGGCTATCGCAGGCTTAAAAAATTATTCAAGGTAAGAGCAAAAATAAACAAACAAATCCTATAAAAAAAAACAAATTTTCATTTTCCAATTCTCTTGGATATCATCCATATCACATGAAGACAAAATTCGAAGGCTGTCACATACATTCAATTTTATTTGCATAAATAATTAAACGGCTGAGATCCAGTAGCGGAGTAAAATATTTTGAATAATTTTCAAACGGCCGTTGCCAAGTTGGCTCGGCTCATGTAAACGTGCGTAATCCCAAGTCTCGGGACCTGAAAGTTGTTTACTATGGCCCCTCGGAGCCCGTTCTTGTTGGCAATGAGAAAGTTGTTACATAGTAGCAAAATACTACAGAATATTGAAGACAACAATACCATTAACCCATTGGCATACTTTTCATAGTTCTCATTTTCTATTATTTTCCTAGTTTAAATAACTCCAGAGGAATTGGCAAATAGTATACAATATTGGTAATCAATACTTGTGGTCTATCTCATAAAATCCTAAATCTCTGGGACAGTAAGAAATCTAGATCCAGAGATTTCAGGTGAATAAATTGAAAAAATCAATACACGCATGTGTAACCTTCGTATGTTTGTATCACTCTCTTTCTCTTCCTCGTTCGTCTCGGTGGCAAACTCATTGGATCGATGAAACAACGCCCGGAAATTTAAGTTTACCCAAACAAAAGTCACCGTACATACCGACAGACGCTTGTTTATCGGCCGATATCCGCTATATCCCGAGTTTAACACCTTGAAAATGAATCCAAATGCTCCATTGAACTCTCATAGGAATACGCTCCAAAATATTTCTCTTATCTATAAAGTTCATAATAATAATAATAATAATAATGAAAATAAAAGGCAACAATAAGTGAAAGAATGAGAATTCGAAAGTGCTCCCCACACGCGTTCGAATTTAGCTCATCGCGACAGGCGGGAGGTTTAAAGTAGAGAGGGACCCCCTTCAATGCATGTTTCATCGTCTGCGAATGCAAAACATCTCATTCACCGGGTAAAAGTACACCTCTCTGATCGTAAGCCAACAGTGCGCGCGCACATTATGTTTGACCAATACTGTTGTAATAATAATGCCCATAAGGTATAAATAACAAGTAAAGCCCCGTTGGCTTTGGAATGTAGCTGAGAGAGAAAAAAAAAACATTGTAACGAAGGAAATGGAAAGAGCAACTTGCGAGGGGGATCAGTGGGGGAAAGTAAAAAGAGATACATGAGAGATTCTAAAATTAGAATGGCCGTTTGGAATGTTGGCTTGTTTTATGTACACGGGAATAGGGCAATGCATTATAGATGTTAACGTACAAAACGAATATTCATCGAGTTTTATGATTCAATGAAAATGTTAAAGTTGCTGGATACATTTTATGCGAAAAACCTGATGGAGGAGAAAAAAAAATTGTTCAAATATGCCAACTTTTCCACTCGTATTTTTTCCATTTCATCGATAACTCCGAGAGTAGTGGGTTTAGATTGAAATGTAAGAAAGATTTTCTTGTACTTTACAAAAATCTCCGGCACATAACGTCTCTTGACATTTCAGATATTTGAGGAATAGTATGGTTACACCAGTTTATGTACTATTGTTTCTACGACCTCTTCTATTCGTTCATTTACCTGGAAAATAATGTGAGTGATAACAAGAGCAAATAACTACATTGATGTAGTAAAAGAAACGAGTCTTGAGTTAAATGCTTGGTTCTGGGGTCATTGTCCTGGAACGCATGGCTAACTGTGGCCATTGGCTGACTGGTGGCCTTCACTGTGACTGGAATGGAGTAATACACGAAAATAATAATTTCGTGTTTGAAATACCTAAAATCCAAATAAACAGCGCCGTCATTATACGTCACAACAATCCCTTCTGTTAATGGTCATTTGTATTCGGAATGTTTGTTGTTTCTATACATGTAGTCTAGATAATCGGGAAAAATAATCAATGCTGAAGATGATTGAACATGAAAACAAACATTCCCACTATCTCGATGGGTAATTCATTCAGTTTGAGGCCTCCTCGAGGCCAAACTGCTGTTGCTAGGCCAATAACGCGTAAACAAGAAATCCACGAGGCTGTAACACCAATTCCTTCTCTATCCTTATAGAATTTCTCTTCCTCACTAAATTTCTCATATACACATACATGTACGTTTATAACTGTTGGAATATGCCGATGGTGTTTCGATCCGTATATAACCGGAAGTAAGAAAGATCACGCTTGCTCCCCGTGATCGTTGAGTTGAAGTTCACATGAACGATAACCTTCATAAAAATGCAATCGAAACTGTGAATAAATTCCGTCAAACATTCCTCAAATAAACACTTCGATTACTGCATAATTTAGTGATAATGGTATTTATAAATTTTTATTTTTTTTGCGTTATTTTTCCTTCTCCCGGGGAGTGATAATGAAGATCATGTAATCTCCAATTCATTCACTTGATTAGACCTCTCTGGCAACTGGACAAATATTTGTTGGAGGTTTTTTTCCAATTGAATGATTTAGATTAGATATTTTAATTGCTGAATTCAGGGGAATAACAACCAACGAATTTTTGATAATTGTTTTGCAGCGTGTGGCGAACCAGGCGCTTACCGTTTCGCCACAGCCGGCAGTGACGGTGGAGGAGCCGGTGTCAAAAATGTCTCCACCCACTAATGACATGACCAACGGTGTTGTGGCTAATCAAAATACCATGACGCCACGTTTACCAGCAGCACCAAATACGGAGATTACCACTGCTACTACCACGACAACGGTATTACCAACGCATAAACGCACGCCTAAGGACTTCATCTTTGGGAAGGTCATTGGCGAGGGCAGTTTCTCTACCGTAAGTGTCTTCCTGTCATTATTATTCGAAGATTATCCCTAGGGAGACATCTCGATATCAGAGATAAATCATGTTAAGGATGTTTATCCAAAATCGCTTGAAAAAAAGTATTAAAAAAAAATTTTTTTTTTCGTCTGAAAGATGAAGCTGTTCCCTTTATCTTGATAAAAATTGCAATCCACCAACCCACGTTTATTATTTATAAATCGAGTGGACAAAATGCATCAAACGCATGTGCTAACATGGGCTTATATGGGATAGAATCTTTCAAATATTTACTCTTTTTGCGCGGTAGTACCCCAAATTTTTTTCTGGCCATTCGATTCAGCATAGTTTTGCACATTACCATCTATTTTTATTTCTGTTTTTAAAGTCTTATAGTATGTGAATTATAAATTGCAACATAAATCCCATAAGAGCCCGTGTATAAGGAAAAATTAGTCTATTTATTTCTGGCGAGATTATTGCGATTCATTTTTTTTAACATCAAAGACGTTAGTTTCATATGTTCCGCTATCAGCCACAAAAATTATAGAATTTTGCTGGAATATGAAAAAATGAGATTTGCTGAAAATGGCTAAACATCTTTAAATTATGTTAAGTTTCGTTATATTCAACTGATGGTGTTAACCATTTTAAAGAAACAAAACTCAACTATCAATGTTTTATTCTCCTCCACAGGTTTACCTCGCAAAAGACATTCACACGAGTCGTGAATACGCAATAAAAGTATGCGACAAGCGATACATTATCAAAGAGAAGAAGACGGAATACGTCAAACGAGAGAAAGAGGTGTTAAACATGTTGGCAGGTGCAAAACACTCGTTCGTACGTTTATTCTGCACCTTTCAAGACGTAGACCGCCTTTACTTCGTTCTCTCCTACGCCAAGAATGGTGAACTACTGCCTTACATCAACAAAGTCGGTTCCTTCGACATCGAGTGTACAAAATTCTACTCAGCCGAGATCCTTCGTGGTCTCGAGTACCTTCACGGTCTTGGTATAATTCATCGTGACCTAAAACCCGAGAACATTCTCCTTGACGAGAAGATGCACGTACTCATCACTGACTTTGGCAGTGCCAAAATACTCAAGGAGGATCCAGAGTTGGAAAGACCAAGTGACAACTATGAGAATCGAATACAATTAGCTAGACGTGAAAGACGCAATTCCTTCGTTGGTACAGCGCAGTACGTTTCCCCAGAACTGTTGACCGATAAAACAGCATCAAGAGCTTCAGATCTTTGGGCTCTTGGTTGCATAATATACCAAATGGTGGCGGGATTACCTCCATTTAGATCTAGGAGTGAATACCTCATCTTCCAGAAAATCTTGAAGCTTGAGTATGAGATTCCTGATGGATTTTGTGATCTTGCCAAGTCGCTTGTGAGTCAGCTACTTGTGGTTGAAGCATCTGGACGACTTGGGGCAACTGATGAACATGGCAACGGCTATCCAAGCATCAGAGCCCATCCATTCTTCGAAGGAGTTGACTTTGAGACTCTTCACGAGCAGACACCACCTCCAATCTACCCTTATCTACCTGGTACCTCTGAGCACGAGGAGTTGAGATCACATTATCGAGTTCCTGATCATCTGGAACCTGGTTTGGATGATAAACAACTGACGAGGCTTCTTGGTCTGGGAATTGGGGAGGACACTACTGATAAACCAACACCTGCAATCGAGAAACCACGACGAAAGAGCGGTTGCATCTCTGATCTCTCCCCTGAAGAAATCAAGGAGCAACTCGAAAAGCAAAAGACCTCCAATCCCTGGAATCCTTTCGTTGATGATCATCTCATTCTGAAACAGGGATTTGTTAATAAACGAAAGGGATTATTCGCCAGGAGAAGAATGCTCCTTCTCACCACTGGACCTCATCTCTATTACGTTGATCCTGTTAATATGGTACTCAAGGGAGAAATCCCATGGAGTCCGGAGTTGAGGGTCGAGCCCAAGAATTTCAAAATCTTCTTCGTTCATACTCCTAATAGAACTTATTATCTGGAAGAACCGGAGGGATTTGCGTTGGAGTGGTGCAGGACTATTGAAGACATGAGAATTCACTGTTATGGGCTATAGGAATGGTAATTCAAGGGGTATGGGAAATGATGAGGAGGGTAATTAAGGAATTTCAAAGGCATGGAACTCTCCTGTTTTTTCCTTTTTTAAATTAGCCAATTGAGGATGATTATTCATTATTCGTCATTATTTCGGGAATTTTCAATTTAGTCAGAGAAATTAGTAAATTGTCCAGGTGTCTTTTTTTAAAATTAAATACTGTGCAGTGGTGAGCAAATTATTTATTCAATGTTTGATGGTGGTTCGTATTCTGGTATTCCTTTTTAACAAAAGATGTACATTTTTTTCGTTCTCGGTCGAATTTTCGTAGATCAATTTGTTAACTGACTGCGCTTTATTTAATTAGGATATAATCGATGATAAATGAAATTTAAGAGAATCTTAGGAAGAAAAAAACAACAATGTGTAAACATTGAGTTGAATCGGATTAACTGATTGATTGTAATTAGCTGAATTCATAATTGCAGTTACTTAAATAGTTTCTGAATTTTCTCGTCATTTCCTGAATAGTCAATTAATCAAGTAATTAATTGATTCAATCAAATAATTCATTTGATATAAAAAATACAAAAATAGGAAAAAATTGTTTTCTGTTCAGTGTCCTGTTAAGTTAATCTACGGAAAGAAACGAATGTTTTTTTTCGATCTATTTATTATTTTCGTGAGTAAAATTCGATTAATTCATCTATCAATGCAAGTAGTATTATTTTACGATTCAAGAGTTACATTAAATTAGAATAAGGGAAAATTGATTGCTGTGGTTAGCACACAACCGAAAGAGGGATATTCAATTTTTGACGAAAGCTAATTCATGATTTTTGTATATAAAAATGTTGTGTTCAAACATTCACAGACGCCCAATCCACGATAATCATCGGGTCTATTTGTTTAAATGTGTATAATAGTATAAATTTTATACCTAAAATTATAAATATACATATTAGACCATTTTTAGCCTTTAATATGTATATTTATACAGATAAACATGTATTTATTGCTGTGAATAGTTATGTGTGTGTGTGTGTGTGTGTGTGTGTGTGTGTGTGTGTGTGTGTGTGTGTGAGTGGAAATTTATCTGAATGTATTTAAACGAAGAGATTCGATTGGACAATTTAAACTATAATTTAAATATCTCATTTCAACGGTTGGAAAGACTTGAACAGGTTATATATAAGGTTTACGAGGGAAAAGAAATCTTGTAAAGTGCATGAGATATTTTTTTTATCAAGCATGAGATAATTCTTCCATATTTTTTTTTACAAATTATCAATTTCTTCTTTATGCTCGAAATAATTGTGAGATTCTTTTGAGTCGAATAATTGTTCTCATTGCCTAGTAGCACATCCAAAATGACCGCTTTTGGTAGGCTACGCAGGGCAGGGGCGGGCTAGCTGGCGAATTATTATCTTAGGCACTTTACAAATTTTTAAAATCTTATTTATTTATTTATACCTACATATTTATGAAACTATTTATTTCCGTCACTAATTTTTAATGATATTTTTAGCTGAGATGAGATATTTACAATGCAGTAATTATCGTGGATTCAGTGTAGAAATTGTGTCTCGTGGAAATTGTGGTATTTTTCTACGTTTTATGAAGAAAATTTTGTGCGATTTTCAGAATGTGAGACACAATTTTTAACATGATGGGGATTTATTTGAGTTTCTAGCCAATTCGAACGAATTTAGAAATTGTACCATTGGCCAAAATGAAGATATAATTGTGAGATAATTAATTCAAGTGTGTGTGTGTGTAATTTAATACAGTTGATTGATTTTTGTGCATTAGTTTGGGCGAAATAGTTTTTCGTCGATATGAGCATGCTTCGGCAACTGTAATTGCAGTATTATTATTATACATACGTAAGGTTCATCTTTTATTTGTTAATTCATAGGGGCTATCGGAGGATTTTTTCCGACATTTTTTCGGTGTATATACGACATTTGTAACATCACATAGAAATGAAAGGAGGGGGAGCAATCCCGGAATTACACACAGGCATGAATTTGATGATTATACATAATTGTAAAAAGAGATTCTGTAAATAGTATGTAAAAACCATATTCATGTTGAAGAAAAATTTATTTATAGTAAATTTTCTGGAATACCACAATGCAATGTTTTGCTTTATTAATATACCCGTCCTCAATACTCATTCAATTTATTTTTAACTTTGGAAGTGAGAATGAAAGGTAACGCAGCTCGAGCGTACCTATATATACATTGAAAAAAGCTCAACATTTCTGTGACATTCTCGTTCTTGTATGACATCACTAAAATATGATACCCATCTAAATAAAAAAAAAAGTTCATTTCTCTCTCTGACAGCTATTGAGACAGTTCTCAGTTTTTACCACGCTAAAAAATGACGGCATTCATGATGGAAGTATAAGGCTTTTTTTTCAAGTAGTAAACGCCATATTGTTATCATTCGTGAGTCCAAAAACATTGATACGAGTGCGAGACTTGAATCTCATCAGGATGGCAACCCTATTTTTATGAAACTTTCTATCAGTTTTTGGCCGATTCCATTGAAGAATTCCGCAGTTTATCTGCGTGTTTTAATTCAATGGAAACGGTTTATGGGAAATATTCTATAGAAAAAAATTGTACAATTCGATTTTAATATGCAACTTTGTGGAAATATTTTCTATAGAAATACACCGGCTCAAAGTTTTTTGGTTTCATTTTTTTTTAATGCAAAAAGAAAAGAAACGTGGTAAATTGCTCTTGTATTATATATAGTATAGTTATAGTATAGTTATTTTTTCTAATAAATTAGCAATATGCTTTCGAATGGTTATTTTGCACATCATTTTCTTCGATCATGTACAATTCATTGTTATTTCATTTTATTAAATTGAAGATTTCTTTTTACCTAATTTTGTCAGATATTCAACTTAATTGAATGTTACCAGCATCATTATTCTTATTATCCCTTTTCTTCTATATGCAACCGATTGTCATTTTTACAGTTCTAGTTCTCCGCCCTTCAATAAAATGTTAATAGAAAAATTTTATTTACACATACTTGAATGAATTTGAAGCATCACATTTGAAGAAACCATCACACAGCTCACTTTCAGGAAAATTCACGAAAAATGCAACATTTTCAACAATCATAACAATCAAATCAACCAATATACCTATTGTAATCATCTTTTAACTTCGACTTAATGGCATTAAAACAAACATTTCAAGCTATGATTCAATTTATTTGGAGCATGATATTCAAAGATATCCCCGGAATTCTAATTTTAAAAAAATACAAAATTTTTGAAAATTTTCGAATAAATAAAAATAACGATTCTTGCTATGGCCTTCATCTTCGAACTCAGTCAAAGGCATATCCAAACAAATTTGTTAAGCTATCATTCAGTCAATTAAGAACATTTTTTCAGTTATTGTGAGACAACCGATGTCTAAAATGTTTGATTTAATGCCATTAAGTCAAAATTAAAAGATCATTACGATAGCTATATTGGTTAATTTGATGTTTTTTCAAATATGCTGTTTCAAATGCTTTCAGTTATGTATAAATAACATTTTTTTATTAACATTTTATGAAAGGACTGAAGCGCTTGTTTTTGTTAAAATTTAGAGAATTAGAGAATTCATAGCAAGGAATTCTTATAGATAATGTCTTAATAGAAAAAGCTCTATAGAAAGATGAAATTCCACTGATTTTTTCTATAAAATAATTTTTACTGGAAATTTTCTGCAGAAAAAAAATGCGTACACTGAGAAAAAAAATTTCTAAGAAATAGAAATTCTGTGATTGTTCCAAATCGTTCATCGATTGAATAGTCGCAAAAGAAAATCCTATTGTAAGACACAAATATCGATTTAATTTTAATGTTTTCGATTGAAAAAGAATGAGATCAGTTATCTAAACGTTTCTTTTGTTACTATCTACTTTTCAGTACATACAAATCAATGTCTGTATTATCAGATATCTTCTTCGAATAAAGCATGTAATTACCCAATTTATCAGCGTCATGATATCCCGCAAAAGAATATCTGTTCGATTGAAAGCCGAATTTTTTTTTTTTTTATTGGGAAAGCCGAATTCATAGATGCAATAAAATATTCATTTGGTCTATGAGGAACATATTGTTGGATACTCATTGATGCGAGACTTTCGCGGTGAGCAGTTTCTTGTTTACGACAAACGCAATTCTTCATCATTTGAACTGATTATTTTTCCATTGCAATTGTGAAAAAAAATTATATGCGCCAAATCCGAAGCGTTTGAACTGAACCAAAATTGAATTGTATGAAATCGATTTTGTCGCAAAAACATGTATTGTCTAAATTCGATAGAATAAACAAAATATACTATACTATAACAAAATCGATTTCATACAATCCAATTTTGGTTTAGTTCAAATTGATATTTGTGTCTTACAATAGCATTTTGTTTTGCGACTATTCAATCGATGAACGATTTGGATCAATCATAGAATTTCTATTTCTTCGAAATTTTTTTTCTTAGTGTAGTAAAGCTGCGGGATTCTTGAATAGAATCGACCACAACTAATAGAATTTCGACAACTAACAAAATCGATTTCATACAATCCAATTTTGGTTTAGTGCAAATTGATATTTGTGTCTTACAATAGCATTTTGTTTTGCGACTATTCAATCGATGAACGATTTCGATTGGATCAATCATAGAATTTCTATTTCTTAGAAATTTTTTTTCTTAGTGTAGTAAAGCTGCGGGATTCTTGAATAGAATCGACCACAACTAATAGAATTTCCTATCGAATTCTTCGTGCGTGTCGTCTGGGACTACCTGAGAAATGCTCCTCATTGAACTTCAAATCATGTATGAATACTTCAAATCATTATTGAAGCGATCAATAGAGCCTATGTGGAATATCATTGAAGTCCATATCATCTGTCATATATGAGATTCCAACCGTACTGGCATCGCGGGGCGCATATTGAGCAGAGACAAATCATACATACATATTTATTATATATCGAGTGTACCAAAATTCAAAGGAAATATTTTGAACACAGCTTGGGAGGCGGTAGTTAAAAACGAAAACTCTAATGAAATTTTTGTGTCCGATCCTTTGCTAACGACTGACGAATTGACGAAGCGCAACTAACCAAACGTTTTTCCCAGATATAGGAATCATATCCTTCTCCCGATGCGAGAAAAGATACGAAATTATTACGTGAATTTTCTCACTTTGTACTGGTGATAAATGGACGACTTTTTTTCAGATATGTACCCAAATCCTCCTACGTAAGCCATATTGCGGTTATATGTGCAAAACACTAAATTGCAGGGATGATAAATAAGCGCAATTCTCACGCAATTATCGAGCCAAAATATCCAACACTAAAACTGTTCTTCATCAGGGCGAATTTATATTTTGCTTAATCATTTATTTTCATTAATATTAAACACAAAATGCTTAACAATTAAAAGTCTGAAGAATTCATGGATTGATAAAAATATATGAACCAAGTTGGCATCACGGTTAGTATTTTTCTGGTGTATTGTGCTCGAATACCCAATCAATTGCCATTATTTTTACTCCTCCATCTCAATTAAGAGGGAAGATATGTATTTTTAACGGAAGGGTGATTTTCGATCAACTGTTAGTCTCCAAACGACCCTCCCGAGCTATCCTCAGAATTTTCGCTTGAGTTTTGGGATATCCTGCATATTGATTCGTCATTTTATTCTGATAAGAAAACGTTCTACCCAGGATGATTCTTAAAATTTAGGATAATTTTCTTTTTTTTGCTTCGGAATGGATGTTTTGTAATCGGTCGATTTTTCGATTCTCCAATTTTGCTTGGAAATAGCTTAGAATGTCATGAACCGTGGAGATATGATGTTTTTAGAGCATGTCTGTGTGTATGTCCGTATGCCCGTACAAAATTTTGGGATTTGTTTATAAATTTTAACAAAGAAAGCACTAAAGTGATAGATAAAAATCTGAAATTTTGGCGCATAATTGGTTTTGTTTGAGAGCATATCTCGGCAAAATTTCAGTTCAATCGGCCCAGTAATTTTTGAGATACCGCGATTCTGAAAAATTTATCTTTTCTCAATATCTCGAAATCTACTGCATCAAATGAACTGTTTTGGACGTCAAAATATTCCTTATAATAATATTTATCGAGTCAGACATAATATGCCTAGCTAACTATTGCGAGGCGCCCAATAATTCAGCTTTTTCATTTCTGTGATAAAATTGATGTGGACACGATAGCGCTTGAAAAAAATGAGATAGGAAGTTGAAATTTGATAGGATTCAAACTCTTACTATATTACAGGCTGGGATTTCAGATGGGCAAAATTGATTGATTAGTTTTAAAGACATTCAATTTTTTGTATAAAACTACGTAATTCAATATCTCAAAAATTATTCATCCGATTTCAATTTTTTTTCAACATATTCGTCCTGATGACTCCTATCTAGTTCTTTCAAAATATATATACCCGCTCCTACATCGTTTTCGTGATATTGGCGTTTTTCTTTTTTTTTTTCATTCACATGTGAATTCACATTTCACATTATGTGAGTAAAAAATGAAGTAATAAATGAAGTAAATAAATGAAGTAAAGGAAGTAAATATGTGAGTAAATAATGAAGTTGCACTCCTGTGTAAAATTTCAGATTGATCGATTCAATAATTTATGAAATAGAACAGCTGAGGTAAAAAAAGGTTTTCGCATCAAATGACATATTCTTGTTCTATCATTGGTTTTCACATGGAAACATTTCTTTAAAATGGGGTCGTCTAGATATGCCTCTCCCACTGCATAACACAAAAATTGAATTCTCAATTTTAGAAGGTCAAATGTTTCAAGGATCAGATTTTTTCTAGAAAAAAAATAATTTTTTTTTTCAATTAAAAAATAAAATTTTTATGGATCCATTTAGAACCTTACTACCGATGGAATCGGTAGAAATAAAAAATGAAAAAAACAAATAACGCATCAAGAAACGATCACATGCCTTCTGACAGAAAAGCTGGGTCCCCTACTTGCTTTCCTTTTTAAATTCTTCGTAAAAACATTCTAATTGTCTCACTAGGTCGAAAAAAAAATCTGGCGAATATGAACGTAGTACTCGCCTTCAA